GCAGGAACTACGTCCAAGACAAGAGGTTTTGCTGCCTGCTGCCTGGGTGCCTTCCGTGCTGAGTTCGGTTCTGTTTTCCGATGCCGAGTGCTAACCGGCGTTCAACGTGGTTCTGTATTTCTGCGTGTCAGCAACATAGCAGCAACATCGTGATGGCAGTGTTGTGGGTTGGGAACAGAAGACTGGAATTATCGCCGATGTGACCGTGCATTCGCGTATCAGTGGTGTAACAACAAGATGAGATGATATAAACCAGTGGTTCTCAACCATCGATGTTTCGCGGACCCCTTGTGGATCGGCGGAGATAATGGGGGACCCCATTCGTGGTCAGGGGAAGGGAAAAGTATAGGTTAATTATGATAATGATTTAATAAATGGATGTAACAAAGGGATAGTGTGAAGTAGAACTCTCTTTTTGACATACACACGAGGAAGCTCGCCCGAAGACTGAAACATTTCTTCTCGACCTGAAAAAATACAATCTCTATTGCCGGGCTTGACTGATGAGGCAGGGCTTCGCGGACCCCTAAAGAGCCTTTGCGGACCCGAAAGGGTCCGCGGAACCCCATTTAAGAACAACTGATGTAAACTGTCGGGCATTGATGTGGCTGGTCGGGCCATGATCGGAGGGGGCGGGATGTCGCAGGTTGACATTCCGATTTACATTAGAGAGTTTATGACCACTTGAGGGATTAGACACGTGCAATCGATCGACTTGCGGATATTCATGTTGGAACGCTGGTCAGAACAGTAAGCTCCTATCGTACAGTGGCCAATGTGACTGTCAGTTGTCTCCTGGCCGAGGGCGATATCGCTCTGGGGAAAGGACTGAACAGCACAAAATTATGACGGAAAGTACGTATATTTACAGTGTGAAGTTTTAGCATTAAAAAAGAATAGTAGGTAAAATCGAAAAAAAAGCTACCCTTTAAGTATGTAGAAATCTTGCTTATTAATTAAGGTGATTTTTGTTAGGAAAGTTGCTCTTTCCAGAGTTTCGTCGGCATTGTTGTTGTTGTTGTTGTTTTTTTTTTACTTTCTTTGTTGGGTTCGGCGTTTTCGAGGAAGCATGTGCGGACGCATCCCGGCCGAGGTGGGAGAGTTTCCCCCGCGGTTTTAAGAAACGTCTCTAGTTTCGAGAGGCGGTGCGGGGAGAACTCGTGTTTGGAGCTGCTTGCGCTTTTAACCGAGTGTGCCTGTATATAGAGGGCTTCGGCGCTTAGTATCAAATTGTCGCTTTTTACCCGATGTAATAATTTAGCGAAATTTACTACACTCTTAATAGATGCCAAGATTTATCGACGATTTTTTCGAGCAGTTAGAACACAAAATCTGTTCTGTTCTTAGCGTAACTTTTTCTTAATGCCCTAGACTTCACAATATAAGTACAAAAATAAAAGAGAGAGTGCGTAAATTATGTTACGTAAAACTCACGGGTGTGCAACTCAGCTTCTCAATGCACGCTTCAGTAGAAAATATGTTAACTAAAAAAAAACTTAGCTTGTCACACCGAATCTATATCAAAGCCCGCCCGGAGTGTTAGAGAGATAAATATAAAAATAAACTATCTTGTATATATCTTGATGCAAACAAGATGAGTAGTTTTATATCAAATTTCATTCCATAGGTAACCAGCTCTAAGTTAAATCAGAAGTTGGGAAAGAATTATATCGGTGGCTGCACTTCCATGACTTAGAAGGCAAAGGAGAGAGAAAATGTAATTAAACATTTTTTGGGAGGTAATAATTTAGCTGTTGGCGCCAGCCAGTCTGCGTAAAATGCAGGCGTTGACTCTAGAAAGAATTTGGATTTGGCGGTTGGAGCGCCAGACTGACAGCTCGCCGACCATTGGAGAACAGTGTACCACGTGGGAGTGGTGAAATTTGAATGGATTGGTCGGTCCCTGAGGAGAAAGCGGGCCCCTACGAGTCTACAAAAGGATCCCCGAGAGGATTCTGGGGGATTGGCTTCGATTCGATTTTGGGAGACTGGGAACAAAAGTACGGGGTTTAAGTTGGGGATTTTAACTCACTGTTGAGTTGTTTTGTTTCATAATATACGTGGCCACACTGCAGCCACTGTAAAGCCAACCAACGTCGCAATGTGTTCAGCGGGATCAAACAACTTTTAGTATTTTTTTTTGTTATGAACTTCCCGGGGGCTGTCATCGGTCGAGCACCATCATCGGTCGTCTCCATCCGGACCAGGACGCGCCCACCCCCATACCAAGAGGCCCAAAGGAAGTTGACTTACCTATTATAACGCAATTAAATGCAAAGGTGCAAGCGAGCTGGACAAGAATGATGAAAGTTTTTGAGGAGTTTAAGCGACGGTGTCACCGCCCTGGCGACCGGTCGCAGAAAGAGAAAGATGGGGATAGGCTTGCTGGACGTTGGCTTTGTGTAAAGTGTGTTGGGCGCGACCGTAGGCTTATAAACTTCGACAGCAAGAATATTACGCAGCTCTGGTGTTCCGGTGCGAGCAACAGAGGTGACACGATCTGCTACGACGAGCCGCGACCATTCACCGCACTAATGCAGGCATCGAAGGAGCGCAACCTGTGTACTACGCAGTCAGTCGCCGTCACCCGACGCTGCTCGTTTGGCATTCAGGGCTTTCCGCCCCGGGTTCTTCGTTTGTACTTGGAACCGAGTGTTATTTCCTGTGCTTGCGTGTGTGCACAGTGCCTGGATATGGGCCTCACAGAGCAGTTCTTCAGGCTCAACAGCGGCTCAAAGTTGACGGCGGAGGGACTTGCAGCAACGCCTTCGGTTGGTGGGTAAATTTTAAGATTGCTGCTAACAATGGTGGGTCGTAGTCGCTTTATGTTGAAACGATTTTAAGTGTAAGTACTCCGTGCAAAGGCGAATCTATCGCGTTTTTAATCCACTTTTGTTTTTGTTGTTTTTATCATGCACGACCGTCTACCGACGTGTTTGTTTAGCGAGAAAACTTCCCTTTCGAGTGACCTCTTTTTTTATTGATAATTTCTCCAGTATCCAGGTGCTTTAATCAACAGGATCGATTCGGTTTGTTTCCCTATTTGAAACATTTTACTGCCACATGCGGCACTAATGCTTGGCACGATGTATGCCACTCGTGGTATTGTGAATTAGTTTGCTTCCAAAGCTAAAAGTGTAACAGGTGGGACCATTCCGTTTGCTAAAAATGTGCAGATATGGGAATTCCGTTTCATAACTAGCGTTTTACGTTTAAGATTGATAAGAAACATGTTCATCTGATGATGCATGTCTACAGCAAAAGCTTCGCAGATCCATAATGGGTGTGCTACAGGCTCCTCGAGGTTTTAATGGGCCAAATTGGCGATTACACGGCAATAAATATTGTCGAAAACTGACCATTGACTCGGTAGGTCTTGATCGTGCCCATTGGGATGCTGTTGGCAAATTAGGTGATAACACTCCTTTTTCTGACCATGTGGCTTCGAAGGACATCGCATCTAGATGTGCTTAAATATGTTTATTTCAAGGTTCAGTTGACCCCTCTGCATCATTACAGAAAGGCAATCTAAGGCCACAACAAACAGCAGTGAATATACAATGCATAATAACAGGCACCAGTCTCCAGGCTTATAGTCTGCAAAAACCAATTTGAGCCTAACATTTTTTCCGTTGTTTAGATAGTTTGCATTTGGTGTATAATTCGCACGGCCTGATTTCCGCACCTAGTGCATAGTCCGTCAAGCTGGTGCGTTGTCTCTTCGTGCTTTTTTTCCTGGGTGTCATTTTTTTCAGACGTTCTTCGGCGAACGCTGTTGAGCCTGAAGAACTGCTCTATGAGACCCATATCCAGCCACTGAGCACACACGCAACACAGGAAATAACACTCGGTGCCAAGTACAAACGAAGAACTTGGGCGGAAAGCCCTGAATACCAAACAAGCAGCGTCGGGTGACGGCGACTGACTGCATAGTACACAGATTGCGCTCCTTCGACGTCTGCATCGCTGCGGTGGGTTGTCATAGCTAGTCGTAGCGATGATCATCACATCAATCAAGACCTACCGTGATGCTACGAATGAAGTGTTCAAGCCAGTCGAAAGCAAGAAATCTTGCCATAGTTAAAATACGTGTGCAAGTGTTCGACGTGGGCTTTTACACGCTGGTGCAGCTGTCATCAAGAATGCTACATATCAACAATGTTTGTGCGTTGAGACTGAAACTATGATGCATACTTTATCTAAACCTAAATTTATCGGTCTGCGGCTACAAACATTTTTGTTGACATTGCTTAGTTGGTGTAACCATTCAGGCATCGCATCAAACGGTGCTGCGAACTCTTCGGTTGTTCTGGTTAATTGTGCTGAAAAGCAGTTGGATAGAAAGTATGACAGCTACAGCATACAAGGGACGATCGAGGTCTTTATTCTGCGTTCTGCGGGACGGGGAGAGGGGGGGGGGGGGGGGGACAAAGGTCCAGGGGAGCCCTTTTTTTTTTTTTTTCTTGCTTCTTACACATCGTGGCGCTATCCTGGGCATGGTCATTCATATTAAAAATAGCGCAAAAAAGACAGGACAAAAAGACGAAGAAGCACACAGGACAAGCGCTAACTGGCAACTAAACTTTATTGAAAGCTTCCAACTTTGCTATCGCCATGCACGCGCTTAGTCTCGTATCAACAGAAACAGGGCGTACCGCCAAAGTTTAGTTGCCAGTTAGCGCTTGTCCTGTGTGCTTCTTCGTCTTTTTGTCCCGTCTCTTTTGCGCTATTTTTAATATGAATGTCCACTACGAACTTGCCCAGCAGACCAAGCTTTTACTGAGTATGGTTTTTGGTGAGGCGGCTTTAGCTAGCGCCCCCCCCCCCCCTTTTCCCCCTCCCCCCGAAAAGAAGCCCTGGCTCTGAACCTAATATGTTTGCGCAAAATCGATAAAGAAATCGGGCGCCCCAGTTACTATTTCTTAGCTAATATACCACCTTCCTCCTTTTGGTCAGAGTCTTCCGAATCCGGGCGACAAATATCTCACAGAAACGTTTGCATATTCCATGTTATAATTTATTTTCTCAAAGCGCTTACAGATCATAAAGCCTCAGCTCCAGTATAATTAATCAGCTCATATCAATCATACTCTTTTCCACTCTGTTACGGTGATGAATCAAAGGGTTGCAACTGAGCCCTGAGATTAGGACTCAGTAGTCGGACCCGGTTCGGCTTCTGTTGGCTGTGGCTCAGCTGACGTGGGCTGAGGCTCAGCTGACGTTGGCTGTGGCTCAGCTGACGTTGGTTGCGGCTCAGCTGACGTTGGCTGTGGCTCAGTCGACGTTGACACCGACGGTGGCTCAACCGAGGTTGTCGTTGGCGTCGGTTGAGAAGAGGTCGATTCTGGCCCTGGCGTTTCCGTAGATGGGCCAGGTCCCGGCTGAGCAGTTGTCGTGGTCGCCTTGCCTCTGACGCACCTCCCGTTTACACAATGGCCTTCTTCACACCACCATCCCCGCTGCATGGCAGTTTTTTTTATTAACAATCAAAATTACTTTTAGATCGATAGACGACAGCACCTAATATAAATTATCGACACAGTTGAATTGTAGTAAGGGAGGAGGCTAACTAGAATTAGACCTGATGTACGTTGTGAAATGCATGGCGCTTCAGCATAAATAATGTTGTATATTCAGATGTTTAAATAACTTCAGTAACATGTGAGGTTGGGTGGTCACTTGCAGCACACAATAATTCAACCAGGAGGAGTCAACATGTGCAAAAGATTATCTCTACCTGCAAGCTAGTTTTTCTTTGTTTTCTTATACTGAAAGGTACCTGAGTTTCAACAATATTTTACTTTCTAGAAACGAAATAATATTTTTTAGAGATTACAATTATTCTCGAATGCAAGCCTCAAAATCAGTTGTTCATTCCATTGATTTGTCATGGCTCAGATTCTAGCAAGAATAGGTGTCGACGAATAACTGCCATCGTGTAAAAAAAGAACTAAACGACTTTGTGCTTTGGAGCTAGGACACGAACGGACGTAATGCAAAGCTGCACACCATTAAGGTTTGTTTGGTTTTGTGCACGGCTGTACTTGTTCTATCAAACAAGTACCAAAGTATGACGACGGAAAGCTTTGTATTTTATAGTAATAAACGTACACCTTACATCACGGCACAAATTTTTCGAACGGCTACAATTGGAGTGATCAAGCAAGAGTTTAACGTGCGCATAAACGCGTTTCAGCCATATATTTAAACCACGGCGGGCCCATAGTGTTCTGAAAATACTGGTGTGTTTTATTAAAATACAAAGTAATCCTTTCTAGGATTACTTTGTAATAGATTACAAAATAACCTTTCTTTCTTTTTTTTCTTTTTTTTTTTTGGGGGGGGGGGGGGGTGTTTTCATTGTTAGCAGGGTTGTTGTTTGAGTGCCTGTTTCATGGATTGGAAAGGAGGTCGTCTGGGTCAGTTTTTGGTTGGTATGAAAGGAAGGGAGGTAGCATGTGTCTTTGGTTCAGTTTGAGATGTCGTTGATGGAGTGGAGAGGAGGTGTGTCGACCTTTGGAGAGGAGGGTTGTGGTGTATATATAAGAGCGGAGGTGTTCAAATAAACTAGAAGCTGCGTTTGAGACTTGTTGTTGTTTTGTCGGTTTTTTTATTTTTCCGTGTCTCCGGTTTACGATGAAAGTAATCCTCATTTTCATATAGAAATGTTATAAACGATGCATTGTCACTTTTAATGTGTATTGTGACCGCCCGCATCTAGCGTGTATGATAAGCATCCCTGCGCCTCAAGTGTTGCTGGAAGACGAGCCTACTTTATCAGCCGGCTGAATACACAAACTTTCGACTACGATACATATAAAAAAAAGCAAGCGCAGAGCTTTATTTGGGATACCGACGTGACTAATATGCGAAATTAGTTGTGACGCTTGGCCAAGTTTTGTGTCATAGTTTTGTTTTTTACACGATGGGCTAGTTTGAAACAAATTGATCTTCTGTGCATTATCACCTGAGGTAACTTCCTGAAATAGCGCGAATATACAAATTAAAATATATTTAATTTAAATAATTACAGGCAGACAAACATACACATTAAGAATACTAGACGCATCATTATGTTCATTGATCCGGTAGACGAGTGTTCTTACGCAGCACGGAGTGCCGTCGTCTTCGTTTTGCTTGCGGAGAGGCCAGCCTCTGCAGAGGTATCTGCAACGCCCTAGACTCTGTAATGAAATGCATGGCATGATACATATTTTATATACCAATTGGTCGGAAGCAATCTGAAGGAAGTCGCAAAAATATTTAAATGCATAAATAAAAGATACCTTTCCATATAAACTACTACGGGGTTAAGCAAAAATATAGACCTTCATTTGGTTAGCTACTCATTTGTTAAATAGACAATTCGCTATCTCAACAACTATTTTGCCAAGTCTGGGATGAAATACCTTTTAATTGAATAACTAGTCATCATGTAAATCCATTCCTCTCGCGCGGCATTTTACACGCTTTCTGATAAACCGCACAATTTCGACGGGTTTTGAAGTTTCGGTTTGCAATCATAGCGCTTCTCGGCCCCAACGACACCGCATAACCAACCTCTATTGCGCTGTCCTCGCGCAACGCAGCAGAGGCTGGTTGCACTATTTCACCACGGGACGCGGTGCCGTCGGTGCCAAGAAGCGCTCTGATCGCAAACCGAAACTTAGAAACCCATCGAAATTGTGCGGTTTTTCAGAAAGCCGTAAAATGCTGCGCGTGCCTTCAATTGTTCTACAATTTATTGATTTAGTGCTTGTCGAGGATGCTGAGGAATTTTCTAATTGAAACCATGCCCTTGAACACAATATTGAAAAAGTTAATCACGCAAAAATAATTGAAATTTCAATTATTCCAAACTTTAATAATTTTTCTAAATGGGCCCCTCGCCCAAAACCAACACGAAGCAAGCCTTTTTTTTTTTTTTTTTGCGATGCCTAGTTTTTACAATATCGAATTTGTCCACTTTTCGTGAAACACCCTTTATGTATTTAAATGCATATGTGTGTGTGTGTGTGCGTGTGTGTGTGTGTGTGTGTGTGTGTGTGTGCGTGTGTGTGTGTGTTAGCGTTAGCGTGAGGTTAATAAAACTTATATATCCGTGGTTTCAATAAATTTTGAAATTCTGACATGATGCGTTTAACTAATCACTACACTTTGTTTTCCTAGAGTTCGTAAGTTTTTACTTAGTAACTTAGGTCGTACTTTTTCTCCTTTAACTCAAAAATACTTATTAAGTATGTGCATAAAACTCTATTTTTTTAATATTGGTAAATTTTAACACCTGAGGCGGTGAAGACTCAAGAGTTTGAATTATTTTCTATAGATATCCCGCATTATTGACGATAAGGGAGGCATATTCTTGATCACCAAAAACAACGAACGAATGCCGGTGTTCTTTATTACGACGCGGTACGTATCACCATTCTGTAGTAAAACCGAGTGGAAGCTTACATGTGAAGGAAACGCCCTTTCGCATTTTTCACCGTCACTGTTGCCGTTAGGACGGCGTCGACGGCCCCAAGCTGGAATAGATGTAGGTAGAAAGGAGTCAAAGCACGGGCACCACAACAACATGAGCAGGCAGTTTTCCCATTTTCCCGGCAAATGACTAATGCGCATATTTTAAGAGTTCAGTTAGATATTTAGTCGATCGAACTATCGTCTATAGACCAGCACGCGGTTAAAAAACAAGTGCTCGTTTGCTCACTCCGGGTGTGGGCACTGCGCTTGTGCAGAAGACAGATTCGCGTGAAGTGACATTGTCTGCGCATGCGCGGGGCCGACAGCAGCGCCACCACAGTGGCGTGACGTGAAAGCCGCGTGTTAGTGTACAGCAGGGGTCTCAACATGGAGGGGGGGGGCATCTTTGCCTTTACTTTGTTACATCTCCAGTGACATCGTTACCTTTGATTTGATTATACGACTACTGTGCGCCCACAACTCAAGTCATCTAGCATTGAGGTCTACCTACTATCCTTTTATTTAGAGCCAATCAGAGCTCGGCGTCTTTCTGACGTCATAGCAACTCCTGCGCAAGAAGCAGACGACTTGCTCTCCGCATAGAAGAAAAATATATCTTTATACGACAGCTTTTGCTTTCCCGGTGATTTTTATAGCAGCATTATAAGAGAATGCTTAGAGCTTAAAGATACTATTTGACGGCTGGAGGCCCGAGCTTGTAGCTTTACTTTTGGAAATTCCACCTGTTGAGAGAGAGTTGGTGCAGTCGAGCTGAGTCCTTGAGTAAAGAGCTCGTGCTTGTATAGCCTATAGCGGTATTGTCGTTGCGGTAGATTTGTTAGAAAAGGGCCGTGTGAGAAGAAAATATTTAGACAAGGCAATACTCGGTCTAAAAATAACAAAAGAGTGCAAAATGTGCGAACAAATTTTATGAGCAGAGCGCCTTTACCGAGCAAAAACGAATCGACTATACCAAACTATTATCTATGCCGAATGCATAGCGCTTATTGCATGGGAACGGGGCTCACAGCACCACGTGACGCTTGTAGGCCGCGTCCCAAGGGGTAGCGGGGGGCGTGTTTTTTTCAGTATAAGGCGTTTCGGTGAAGGACGTTTCGGTGTGGTCTTTTAGGTGCACGGACGTTTTGGTGCACAGAATTTTCGATGCGCGGACTTTTCGGTGTGGGACTTTTCGATGCGCGGACTTTTCGGTTCCCGGACTTTTCGGTTCACGGACACTTCGGTGCACAAACAGTCAAGTTCATGAGTATTCTTTTTTTTTTCTAAACGTATAAGCACTATTTTTGCTAAAAATTTATTTTTTCGCACTTTATAATTTTTTTAGACTAGGTCATCTACTTACTGCCACTTACTGATGTGCCACCTAAGTTACTTTGTTAGGCGCAGTATACCATCCTGCGTGAGGATCGGAGACGTTGGACGTTAGTGTTCGTTTGTCGGTGTCTCTTTTTTAAAATATGCACTAGTCGCATCTTATATCTCGGGTAATTTTCAACAACCTAAAGCTTCTTGCTGTTGGGGCCTTTCTTACACAGATTACCAAAGCCCGCACCTTGACAGAAGGCGCCGAGAACGCCTGTATCGACCCAACGTGTAAACACGATGCGTCTGGTGCGTACGTCGGAAAAGAGACACCGGCGAATTAAACATAAAGTCCACGTACCCAGTCCTCCCGCAAGATGGTGCTGCGCCTAACAAATTCACTTAGGTCGTATATGAGTGAGTGACCGTAAATGGATGACCAAGTATACCAATTTTTAAAGTGCGAACAAATTAGTTTCTAGCTTAAATAGTGCTTATTACGTTCAGAGAAAACTAAAAAAAGTCGTGATTTTGATTCCCCGTGCACCAAAATGCCTGTGCACCGAAAGGTCCGTGCACCAAAAAGTCCGCGCACCGAAAAGTCCCACACCGAAACGTCCTAAATTGAAATGTTCGTATCCCTGTTTAAGCATCACCATCTAAAACACCATCTAGAATAACGAAGGCCTGCGAACGCTGCATTCTTCCTTCATGAAATGTCATCAGAGTAGGATCCCGCTAACTCGGCTACTGGGCCCTAGCTTGACCTTCGACGCGCTGATTGGTCACGAGCCCCAGCCGAACACTGACACAGCACTCGGGCCCAATCTCAAGCCTCGATCGATCTGACTGTGATGACGCTGCGATCACGGTGCGGAGGCTTTCTGTCTAGGTGGTGTTGGTTTGAGCCTCCTGGTGACTAAGCTGAGCGCCCTCTGTACATTGCAGCAAAGGGCTCTTTCTCGCTATTTGCCGAAAAACAGACGCTCTAATTTTTTTCTTTTTTTTTTTTTAGAGTGAAGGATAAATTAATTTATAATTGATCGCCGTCACCCTATTTAGCAACAGCTTACACGCCAGTTATGTCCACTTCGGAGCATCTAATTATCGCTCATAGCCAATGGGATTGCAGCATGACCCGATAAGAACTCGCAAGAAACTATCAGAAAACAGAGAGGCAGGAGGCACGAAGAACGTAAGATACTCCCTTCGTTTTTAAAACTGTAACTAAAGGAGCGTAAACTTTGCCATCACCATACAGTCAGGCATAAAGCTGTTCCACACGACGTTTCTAAACCTTTAAACACACTGGGCTATATTGTAATCGCTGACATGCTCAGGAACCGGGATTTGTTCAGCGGCGTTCTAATCGGCTAATGCAGCAATATAATCCATTGGTTTACTCTTTTTTTTTCCGAGGACAGCAAGTTAAATGACGTAAATACGTTTCCCACGCCTCTCAACGCAGATGAATATTTCCACATGGATTCTTTCTGCAACAAGATATTTCGCGCTCAAACTTTTCAGTGCAGTGAAGTACCAGAGGGTACATGTAACCTCTAGATTTCATAATGGTGAAGGATTTTGGAGACAATTGTTTGGAATTGACCCCGTATACTTTTTATTTTTTTTCAAACTCAAACTTGCACAATATACTAGAGAGAGAAATATACGAATCAACTATAACGATATATATATACAACACGGGCACTTCACACCATCGTACGTGGTCTCCGAGGAGGATATAAACAAATATGTGCAGATGAATGAACCGTACTTAATCCAATTAATCAAAGAATCAAAGTTTTTCAGGAACCCGCCGAAAGCCAAAAAACGGCGGAGCCAGGATATATATATAGTTGATTCGTATAGTTCTCTCTCTAGTATTTTGTGCAAATTTGAGACCCCTATATATATATATATATATATATATATTTATATATATATCCTGATGCTAACAAGGAAACTACATTTTTCTATCAACTTTCATTCTAGAAGTACCAATTTCTAAAGTCACATCGAAAGTCGGAAAGGAATAGATGTCAGTGGCTGCAATTTTATGATTTACAAAACAGAGGAGAGGAAGAATATAATGGAGAAGGTTATGGATATATCACACGAATAAAAGGTTCATACGAAACATACAAAGAAGAAAATCCAAAGGTAAAAGGACAAAATTGAGGGATCATGACGTGTAGTGCCACCAGTATTTGAAGTACACAACTTTACTGTAAAATAAATAGTGTTATGCCACGGTATGAGGTATCTAAAAAAAGTAATTTTTAGCAATATTTATAAGGGCGGAGGGGTGCTAATTTAAAGAAGCAGCGCTGTAGGTGATGTAGGTTGATTGGACGACGACTTTGTCAATAAATGCAAGTAGGCACTAAGAATTAAATTTGATTTAATGACTCTCTACATCTATACCTTGCTTTGTTGCTTTTTTTTTTCAAAATAACAAATCAACTGTCGTGTGTTTACAAAATATGCCCACCATACGTCGCTGAATTTATGAACAGAATTATAATGTTGACAACATATACTCTCTGAACCGGCCCCAAAAATGTGGAAGTTCCAAATAAACCCGTACTGGAGCGTTAAAAGTGATTTTCGCTATATTCTGGCACGCTTGTCCCTCCAAGTCTAATGAAATTATGCAAAAACTTACCCAATGACTCGTCGAAAAGGACAAGACATACAGCGACCAAGAGGAGAAATGAAATTAATCTTATCATAGTGGCTAGCTTAAGCTGGTACTGCCTTCAAACTCGAAACGTGCTGGTTTCGGCGACGCATTTATAGCAGCGAAGGAGGTCAGCTTGACGAACTCATGGGTAGCTTCAGGTGACGTAACCCCGGATATCTGCCTTCGCATTATTTATTTTACGTCGTGCAAATGCTATTTACAGGAGACTAAAAAAAAAAAAGCTGACGCGCAAACACAGGACCGAAGGCACCACCTGCTCTCCTTCGCTTACCTTATCTTTTGCAATGTAGACACAACTACCGAGTAAATAAGGGCACACAGTTCAGGAAAACGACCTCGCGCTATTGTGAATACTCCACAGGCTACAAAGGGATAGTAGTTGTGCAAACCAGAACTTCAATATACCCGCGAGTGTACGCGAAGAACTCGATAATCGCAGAACACTTCTTGGGTTAGCAATAGGTAACGTGATCAGAATAATTAATTTGTAGGATCGTAACGGGAAGGCGTATTTACAAAACATCTGCGTTTTTAAGGAATGTGTTTGTTCTTCAGTTAGTTGTATTGATAAGTATACTATTACTGCAATATCAGCCGGCCACGTTAGGCTCTTTTCTTCACAGAGAATTGAAACGCCTTCTGGACTCGACAGTCATTATGTACAATTATAGCTGTAATTTAATCTCTATAAAAATGACATATAAGAAACGCGGCTATATAAATTAAATCAGGGAATGTTGCTTTCTAAGAAACTATACCTTTATTCTGCCTTTTGGGAGAATCACCTAAAATTGATAAAAACACACTTTTTTTATCGAAACGTTTCCTCAGCTTTTAGGAGTGCTTTTTGGCAAGAAATGAGCATACCAGCTTAAGCTGTTATGCGTTACATTGGCAGAAGCGACTGGAAGTTATCGAGAAATTGCCATTAATAATAGGTGATTCCAGTGTGTCGGGCCCTTTTGCCATATTTTTCTTCCTCTTCTCCTGCCCCAAAAGTTGAGGTGCATGGTCTTGACTACACCTAAGGGTGTGGTCGTACAAACATAGCTTCAGCTAACACAAATTTGTTCCGTAAAACATTTTTAACCAACAGCAGTAGCCTATTTTAAGCGCAATACTTGTCGTGCACATATTTTGCGAAAGAGAACATACAAATAGAAGCACTTAAAAACTAGTTAATATAAACGCCTCACATTTTGATTATTTTGTGGCCAATTAAGTCCATTTCTAAACCGAGAGTGTAGCAACCCTATCCGCTCGGTATTTTCCGCTACTCAGGTCTAATGTACTGATTCAGGGTGCTCGATTTGCTTATTTAAATAAAACTACCTTTATGTAGTGCTTGATTACTACAACATTTGAAGTTTTAACATCTAACACACTCTGGAAGACGAAGCTTATATAATCGAGCAACCAACAATTATATTGTAGTATGTATGCTTTGAAAATAAGTCTTATTGGCGGTGTTTCATAAACGCACCGTGTAAAAATCAAAATTTGGCGGTTCATCTGATATGATTAACAATAAATGTGAAAGATCGGAAGAACTAAGAGAACATATGAAGTAAGTGCAATAAAGTAGAAAGGTCTAGATAGCGATTGTGATTTGAAAAATAAGAATGGTATATATAAATTAAGTATCTTGCATAGACGTCACTCGATCATATATAATTCACTCAAATCGAAATAAGTACCTCACCAGAGCATTCACCAAGAAGGATGAAAGTGAGAGCGACCACAAGTGGAAATGTAAGCGCTGCCCTCATGGCTTCTTTGTCAGCTAGACAGGCGTTTGTCGTTTAAAGTTTCGGTTATATATACCTCACCAAAACTGCATTGCCATGGTCATCACGTGTGTCTCCATATGCTCAAACACGAGGTTTCATGTACGGCACTTGACTTTCTTTTCTAGTGCTGCATGTGGTTGATTGACAGCAAGAAAGTACAAAAACAAGCCTAGTTGACACCAAGTCTCACTTAGAAAGGCACAAGAAGCAGCATTAGCTGACTGTCACAGGTTTGTTTTGACCTATGCAGGCATTTCTGAACATCTGAGGAATGAAGAAGACGCATCACCTCAAAGAGGCTCCCAATTGTTGGGGCGAGAACAACGTGTCGCACACGAGTCGTCCCACGTCAAACAACGGTTTCTGCGACTGCACTTATAATACCAAACAAAATTTAATATCAGAAATAGGTAACATGTGAGTAATTTCTGTGTTGCATCAAAACTTTTCTACTGATTGCTACGCCTTAACTGGCTAATACAATTATTATTTGTGGCAAGAATCATTTTCGAGAGCCAACATTTCTGAAATAACTGGTAAGTGCACTAAGAAAAACTACGACATTCCAGCAATTTTGATCATAAAAGGGAGACTGATTTGGTTCTGTATTTGAAACAAAAACACTTAAATCGTCTATATTCGGTCTTCAAGATTACGAAAATTGAGATTTTGTTTTTTTAATTTGGTGCACGGAGGCTGCAGAAATTAATTTTTAAAGTACCGCTGAAGAGCGTCCTTCCCTAAGCGTGACGTCATATCAGGAGCCTTCGGAATCTCCACCCTCGCGCATCTTCAGCGCCTATCAAAGCTATGCGCGCGCACTCTTGCCATTTTCAAAAAGGTCAGAAGAGACGTCACGACTGGTGTCAGTGCGTGGAAATTTACCTGGCATGCTTGCAATTGCTCACGCAACCTACACGAGCGACACGCGCTTGACGGCTGAAAGACTTTAGTATGACGTAGCTACTGCGTCAGGCGTGTTTCGTGTTTCCTCGCGCTTAGTTACATCTTCGGGGAAAAAGAACGTGAGATTCAAACTCACGGGATAAAAATACGGTAAAATTCACCTCTAACTCTTTGTTTTTTCAATCAGCTTTTCAGCATTCCTTTAAGTATAGATCATTTCTGTGTAGTAGTTCCCATCCTTAATTGTGGAACATCCGGTATGTGGAAAACAGTTTTGCCTGCGCCACGCAAATTGAATGTGTTCGAGAGTTTATCTCGGCTGTCGATCCTTTTCGTTTTGCTTCTGCTATATTTTTATTACTTGATCCAGGTTGTAATGTCCGCTTTTGTTTCGTCACCCATACCGGATGTGTTAACTACGTAGTTGGGGACAAAAGTAAACGGAAAAAGTGTATATATGCAAAGATTTCTACGACAACAAAGGGCTTTCAAGTAAGACTTCGCTTTGGCGAAGTTTTAGCTCAGCATGAAAAACCGTTTGACCTTTTCTAGGAGCATCCGCCGTACAAAAAGGTTTGTCCAAGTGCTCGAGCACTCCGGACAGTCGCCGTTCGTTTTCAACGTCTACTAACCAACGCAACCACATTGAGATAATTTTAAATTTATACTGTCCGGACTAGGAGTATACGTTCAGGCATAGCAACATATTTTTTTCGATAATAACAAAAAACTTGATATCTTAAAGGCAACGTTGTCAAAGAGGCGAAGTGGTTTAGGTTTCACATAAAGAGTGAGATATTCAAACGCCCTCTGTGTCCCTTTTTTTTTTGTTTTCCGTCATTCCCTGTTTAGGTTATATTGGGTGAATATTTATTTACTCATTGACACTAAAAAATAGCACATTTATACTAAATTTGATGACTGGTTGTTTATTAGTTGCGCTTTGTTGCTGAAACTTTTGCCAAACAAAATTTAAAAAAAACAGCAATATAAATTGTGTTTTGTGTGCTGGTGTATCAAAAATTTAATGAAGGAAAAAAGAACAAAATTCCAATAAAGTTATGTTTATAGTGATTGACATTTTCTTCCCAGACTTTGTATAAATGATTACTTTAGCAACAATCAGGTTACTTATTTTAAAATGACTTCCTGTGCTGCTGTTTGGGCGTTATAACTTCGGCGGCTTTTATGATAATAATAAAAGAGGAAATACCTCAACCAAAGCCCTAAAAATGTAGCCCAGCGTTTCGTACCCCGCTTAGACTCTTCTTTATAAGATTCTCAAGTAAAAAAAAAAAAAAAAAAGGCAGAGCGCCACCTATTAGATTTTGGGAGAAGTGTACACCGCCACCTTCACTGCCGGAGAGAAATCCGCCAGCACAAGAAAGACGAGTGAAAGACAGCGAGAGCAGTGCCGTCGCCAAACACTGTGAGGTCCTGGACCATTAGATCCGCACGCACGTGATCGACACCGAGCCTTATCTTCGGAAAAGGCTTTTTCTGGAGTCATGGCATATCCAGCACACTTCAGTAAATTTAAACAGGGCCCTATGTGCTTTTATATATGTAAAAGCCCAGGCACAAGCCACCTGACAAGGACATTTAGCAACAAAAAAAAAAAACGACCTCTGTGAAAGAGGATTGTCCTTGCAGACGAAGACAAGGGCTCCTGAGAATTTGTGCTGATGACCTGTGTGTTTCAGTCACCCCTGAAAAAGAAACCATGCAGGTCTCGAAACCTTAAATCACTGCTCAGGGATTTGGGTCAAGTATTTTTTTTTTATCACTATAGTTCCACCCAACCAGACAGATTTTCGGCAACGAGTTTAGGTTCCGGTATTTAAGACGAAATCAAATTTATTCAGACCACTTACCCAAAACTGGACCTCAAAAAACCCTTTTCAAGAGTGCGGGACACAGCGCGCCATCTAGTAGCCTCTGCGCAAATTATCCGAGCCTGCCATTGCTCTGGCACCAACCCTGAGAATGTATTAGCCACAAACAAGCATTGCGACAGCGTTCGGTGTAAACGTGGCTCGGCTCGTATTGGATACGAGTGTGACGTCAGCGTTCGGTGAAAACTGGGATCCATTGACGCCCGTCATGCCCAAGAAATGGCGAACATCCAATGTCGCTTGATGGGGTTTTGAAAAGGGACTTTAACGGACACACGCATATCAGATAAGCATCAGCCAACATAAGCTTTGTGTTTTTACTTTGTTTCAGAGCACATGAAGGTCGAATAACACTCAGATCACTCCAGTTTGAAACGTTTATTGACAAGCTGCAGCCTATATTGTAGCTGCCTTATCTCCCGGAAGTTATATTTTTGAGGCAGATTGTGAGCAGATAGAGATTG